GTGCATCATTAACTGTGAACCGTGGCTCATTGGACACTTTCTCGATTGCGCAGTTTGACCTAGCTTTCACAAAACCCTGCTGTGTAAAGGCAGTGAACTGCCCTCTCAAACCCTGCTGTGAAAGCACGGTTCACACCCTCCGCGTCCATCTTTTTCATCAAACCACGCATACCATGCACTCCGCTCCACAAGCTTCTCAGCATTGCGCACCCTGTGGCGCAAGCTTCACGGTTTCATACCGAGTCTGCTTGTCATCTCCAAGCTCCAAGCCCATCTGCAGGCCCGCAGGATCTCCTTCACGGCCTGCTCGCTGGGCAGGTGGAGCCCCACCCTCACACAGCGGGCTCAGACAGACCTGCGTTTGGCTCCTCTGCGTCTGGATGCCCTGCAGGTGCATCAGACAGACGCCGCTTCAACTTGCGCCTGCGCTTGGGCGATGCTTTTGGCTTCTTCTCTTTGGCTTCTTCTGGTGGTGATTCCCTCAATGCTCTCAGGCAATAAGTGATGTTGGCTGGATTCAGTTCAATCCATGCGTCAAGGCCTTTGACTTGCCAGAGCATACGCATATAGTGTGGCGCACCGCCCTCGTCTAGCGCGGGCATCTCCACCAACACGCAGCGCTGCACCAGCCAGCTATCGCACTCTTGACAACTTTGCGCAACTCTACGTTGCACTGCTCTTTCCTGAGCTTTGCTGTTTCGGACCACCACTCAACAGCTAAATCTGATTTCTGCCGATTTTTGTGTCTCTGCATGGCCTTGCCTCTCACCATGTAACATAGGTCGCGGTCCCATTTGCTGAGATGGATGAAGTTCATGCCAGAAACACATTGGTAGTCAGGTATCCACGACTTCTTTGATCCTTGCCGCTTGACCACCCATGCCTGCGACACAACGACGGCGCCCTCTTCACGTGGCTCCTCATCATCTGGATCGCACTCGGAGCGCTCCTCCTCTTCATCTGCAGATTGGGCTGGTTCGGCCATGGCTCAAGCAACCGCCACGCTCACGCAGCGCAGGGCGTTGAGGAATTATGAATCAAACCCT